CTAATATTATCCACTATAACATGCTTCCTTTTGGTGAAAGGGCTATTTCCTTTTAATAAATGAAGAAACTGAGGCTTAACAATGTTAAATGAATTGTCCAGAATCACAATTCTATATACAAACGTGTCTGTGATTTTTTTAAAGAAGCTTTTAAGAGAAAAAACTATATTAGGAAAACTATTTTTTTCCACCTAAATTGAGTATGCTTTAATATTTCATGCACAATTATGTATTTTCATTGTTAAAAGTCCATTTCTTTGTATTGTTTGAAAAACACTGAGGTAATCACAGGGTTAAGATCCTATTGCAGTTTTTAGATGAGGAATGAATGAATATGAGGAAGAAATTAAATTAAAAATTAAATTCAGTAAATTACTTCTCTACAAATGCTTTAATCAAGCTTTTCTATAGTGTAATTTTCACTGGAATCAGAAATTTGTTAAATTACAGAAAATAGGGCTTAAAGAGATTTTTAAAGAATGTTTCTATTTCACATGAAGCTGATTAGACATCTTACAAACTGAGTTTTTGTTTTGTCTCAGGTCCTCGTCTTTTCCTCTCTTGTCCTATGGATGTAGAAGGAGCCAGAGTATGGTTCACTGATCTCTGGAACTATTCTCTGGTACCGTATCTTCTGGAGGCAGTGAGAGAAGGTCTTCAGGTATGTAATGACTCAGTATCTCCCTTAGAAAAGGAGTAAAATTCCTTCACTTTATTTACTGAATTTTCCCACCCAGTAAAGATGGATCATGTCCACTAACAAAGACAGGTGGGCCATTTTGGTGATTTGGGTGAATATGAAGTCAGATATTTCTTACCCTTTCCCTCACTATTGTGTTGTTATTTAAATAAATTTTTATTTCTCACTTTTTCCTAATGATGCAGCATGCTGTCTTTCTTTTTCCATTTCTATGATCTCTAATTTAGTACTAAGCCTTTTCCTGGATTTCCCTCATCCTTTCTATTTCACTGTTCTAACTTGATCTATTTCATAATATACCATATATACAAGGTTTTTAAACATTGGTTTTGTGATTTGGTATAATCAACACTATAAAAGTGGGGAAACAAAGCGTATCGTAAGGCGTTGGGAGCATTGCTAGAAAGTGATTGGAGGTCCTCCAATATCATTATGATTATATGTTCCAATTTTAGCAAAGGAGGGATTCCTTGTAGTTGTTCACTAATATCTTCCCATCACAGCTAGGGCACTTTTATAGTCTATAATATCTATTTCCTCTATTTGTCTAGTTGGTCTCTACACTACCACATTTTTGAGTCTTTAGCACTCTTCACTTGGTCAGCCTCTCTTTAATTTTCTGGATTTTCACAAAGTGAACATATTCACGGCATAACACTCTACTTTGTCCCTGCTTCTATTGGCTCTCTTCCTTTTAGCTTAGCCGTTTCCCTGCTGAGACTTAGAGAATTCTGCTTAGCATGTAACAAAACCCCTTTAACTCTAGATAATTGAAAATTTCATCTTCTTATTGTTAGCTTTATTCTGTTTTGCAAACTGGTTAAAATTTATGAGGTATGAATTTAATTAGCGAATAAGTTTCTCTTATATTAAAATAGATTGCCTGAAATGAAGCTCTCCTGACATGTTTTATTTTAGCCAGCCTTTTGGTTTTATGTTAATTTTTTGTGTGATCTTGGTTCCATTTGCTTTGCTGCCGCAGTCTTTGTTTTTTGCTCTGTTTTCTTTTTAATACTCTTCCATTAAAACAAAAATCTGAGATTCAAAAGATGCATTAAATAACTATTGAAAATATGCTTCTTGAGGGAAGGTCATTATTGTCTTTGTAACCCTGGCACTGTGCCTTTCACATAGTAATTGCTTAAAAAAATGTATATTGACTTGAACTGTATGTTTTTCCATTTTTATTTATTTTATTTACTCCTATCTTCTAGATGTATGGTAAGCGAGCACCATGGGAAGATCCTTCCAAGTGGGTACTTGATACATACCCATGGAGCTCTGCCTCACTGCAACAAGAAGGCCCAGCCTTACTTCAGTTGAGGCCAGAAGATGTTGGTTATGAAGGCTGTACATTGGCAAAGGAAGGGACAACCTCCAAGCACATTCCACAGACTGATACAGAGGGGGATCCTTTGGTGAGAAGTGGATGTTTTGTTCTTATCGTTTGACTTTCAGCAGACTCATGGTCATAATGCTTGTAGTTGCGTGTGTATTAAGGGGATCTTCGAGATAATCTAGCTTTTTTTTGCAGCTGAGAAAAGAGAGGCACAGAATACGAAAGAGACTGATAGATGGGGGATTACTGATCTGCATAGTTAGTAGGAAAATTTAGATTTGAACCCAGCTCCTCCAATTCTAACTCTGACACTCTTTCCTTCCATTGTTTGTCCCATTTAACTATCCATTTCCTGTCATTTCTATTATCAGAAGAGTGTAAAAAAATGAGGAATTAATATTAACACAAAACATTAATTGGCTCAATTCTCACATCAATTCATAGAAAACCAAATTATATTTTTTTGAACGAAGACTTCAGAAACATGCAAGTTAAATGAATACTTGAAGAAACAGCAGATGTTGTCCCTGAGTCTGGCTCCAGGATGGAATTGAGGAGGCTGATATGGTCTGTTATTTGAAGGACATAGAAGCAAAGGAAAATCAATCCTCTCTTTTCTTTGTCTGTTTCCATATTATATGGTTTAATTAGTTTCAATATCTGTAGAGTACTTCAAAGTCTTTGGATGGAAAAATCATAAAAATCCAAATGATTATTCCCCAGTACATTTTAAGTGTGTCTTATTACTGGGAACAAAGAATTTATTCTTATTTTATTTTGCAAATTACTTTCTATAAATAAGTAGAAGCAAAATTACTAGGTAAGGGGCACTAAACTTTTCACCAGCATACTATATTTTGAGAATGAAGATCTCAATGCTTTTACAAAACAAATAATGAAACAAATATATCGAGAGATTCTATTTCCTCCACAAATTGAGAAAGGGAAGTAAAGCTATTCTTAACTAGAATAAATAATCATAAAGCTATTGTTAACTAGAATAAAACTAAGTGGTATTTTTTTTAGTTGTTATTTTTACATGTGACATTTAAAGCATTATCTTGATTTTGAAAGGATACATTTCTCCCAACTAGGTTATTACTCCACATCCAGGTAAAAACAATCTAGTCCATCATGAATTACCCCTTAGCCCATTGGTTCACGCATATTGATAAAATAATCTAAGTTGAAATGGTAACCTGATTGGCTTAGATGTAGAATTGCCTAGAACAGTAAGAAGTGAAATGACTGGCCCAGTGTTACAGAGCCCGTGTATGTAAGAAACAGGACTTGAATCAAGGCCTTTCTGTTTTCCAAGCTGGTTCTCTCCCCACTGGGTCCCACTGTCCTCCATTTTTTATATGTCAACATTCCTTTCAGTTCTAAAAACATTTGTTATATCCGACATTACAAAAAACAAAGGCTGGCTTTGCCCTTTAGGAGAGAGTATTCTAATAGGAAGAAATTACATAGTAAAAGACTCTGTTATTAACATGAAACAACTTTCCCTTATAATGATAGACCCCTTTAGCCATGAATACCACCTGTGTTGGACATTTTCCTCTTTCCTGTTTCTGAATCTACATTGGCTGCAAAGTCAAGAGCCTTAGGTCCAAATCTGTTTTTCTTACCTGTGTGATCTTGAGTAGCTAACTCACTTAACCTCTCTAGATTTCAGTTCCTGAGGATGTTGAACTAAATGGACTCTGAGAATCCTTCTAGCCCTAAATATCATGGTACTGTGACATACTTTGATGCCAGAGTCCATATTATATTTAAATGGTGCCATCAGGTCAGGAACCATATCTAATTTAAGCTTCCTATATAGGTCAGTGCCTAACAAAGTGCTCTGTACACAGTATGTGCTTAATAAATGCTTATTGAATTGAATGGTAGCATTCTAGTTATGGCTGACAGCTTCTTTTGGAATCCAATTTCTCCTAGGCTACTAGATTCACCAGGGTTTCTCATGCCCTGCTTTTCTGAACTGAGTTGAACTCAAGTTTCTGAGAACTTTGCTCTTCCATGCAAGGCCAACTTTTGACATCAACTTGAGGTCCATCGCAGCAAACAGCCTTTTAACTTTTTCTATTTCCACTGTTACACTCTACCCCATGTGGGAACTCTCTTCTTTTCTCTGGATTCACTTTTTCTCAAGCTATCTCCATGTTTAAGGCCTCTCACTTTGAATCTCTGATTCGTTTCCCCTTCTTTTGTATGTTGGGGTTATGTCATCTCTCTGTTAGCACCTTGTCTAGGACTGCTTGTAACCCCTTAACACCCTGCTGTTTAACAAAGCTCCAAAAAGCAGCTAATTACTCCAGTGCACAAAGCTGTGACAGTGATAGCATCAGCCACCATGAGGACATTTCAAATTCATCTCTTGAATCGATTCTCTAGAGGGTATAAAGTTAGGTAGATATAGGATTTAGCTTAGCACATGGAAAAAGGCATTTCCACTGAGCAGCTGCCCATGCTTGAGGTACCAGAGGGTCATGTTTTGTCATTCCCACTCATTTTACTCTGGAGAGTTTGTAAATAAAAAGACTATACACAAATTTCTTGGATTAGATTGACTTTTAAGCAACATTTTGTAACGCCTCTGTCAACAGAGATCCTATAGATCTCCTTTGAATCTAAGCAATATAGCTCCATTTTTTTTAATACATAAGAAATTAGTCACATTTCCCATAAAGACTTATATGTACTTCTTTTGGACTGGAACAAACATTACCCTAGCCCATAAGGATATTGAATGCTAGAGAACTCAAAGCAGCTGATGTTGTTCCAGAAAGTGGTTTTTGTTTTCATTGACATATCAATCCTGATTGCGCCACAGAATCAACAATAATACAAAATACCCAGTGAATCTTTCCTCTTCCTGTTTCTAGTACTCGTGGCTGACTTCATTCAGTCACCTCATCCTGAGGTCAACTCCTGATCAGCAGATGGTGTGCTTGTGTGGAGCAGCTGGCTTCATTCCACTCTACCCTCTCCTTTTCTCGGGGGGTTGTGTGTTTGTATATGTGTATATGTGTGTGTGAGAGAGAGAGAGAGCGCGGACGTGTGGATGAACGCTCACGACTTTCCGTTGCCATTCAGTGGTTTCTGCTTCCTTCAGCCAAAAAGCTCGAATGCTTGGCAGCATCTCCAACCACGGGCCCAGATGTCCAGCTGTGATACAGTTTCCTTTCCAATCTCCCTGCTTGAACAGCAGACATTCACAATGTTGAATAAAAGAGTTATCCTGAAACCCTATTATGTCCTCACGGTTCCTCAGTTTTTCAAAGTCATAGTCGAGAGACATGACAGGGAAGTCAAGGGCGATGTGATATTCTAAAACTGTTTTCCCCTTTCTCTTGGGTGGTATAAGAATGTGCCTAAAGGCAGCTAAGGTTCATATTTATCTATTTTACACATACTTATATATGTGTGTATTATATATATACATATATATACATATATATGAATGTATGTATGAATGAATATATATTTCTTTTTTGTGTAGTTAGCTAAATGCTACTTGTCTCTATAGATTTTTCTTCCTCTTTTTCAGATGAATATGTTAATGAAGCTCCAGCAAGCAGCCAATTACTCCAGTGCACAAAGCTGCGACGGTGACAGCACCAGCCACCATGATGACATTTTAGATTCATCTCTTGAATCAACTCTCTAGGGGATATAAAGTTAGCTAGCTATAGGATTAAGCTTAGGAAACAAAATGCATTTCCACTCAGCCACTGCCAGTGATGGAGCAGCCAGTCGAAGGTCCCTGACCAAGAGCTGTATGCCACAAAAGAGGCAGCATATTTCAGTCAGAAAAGTCAAGACGTTCAGTTGAAATGGAAAGCTTGAATCCGTTTTTCTTTCAAGGCATTTCTGTCTCAATGGAGTCACACAAGTAGGGCTCCATTAATTAACTGGAAGAGGCCCTACGTGGAGGGCCACCAAGCAGATTGCACATGAGTTAGCCAAACTGGAATATTTTTTTTTCTCTCTAAAAGTTTACAGTAAAAAGGTTTTTTTTTTTTTTTGGTTGTTTTATTTTGTTTTCCACTTCCTTCTTGGCACCTCCCCCCTTTTTTGGGAAATATTTTCTTTTTGTTTTAACTCTGAGGTGCTGCATCCACCATGCAGGGCCCGTGTTTCCAGATCCAATTCTATCCTTACCTCCGTTGTGCCACACGGCACTGTCACATGACTCCAGTAGTGTTTGTGTTGTGCTACTGCCCATTCCAAAATGGACGCCAGAGGCTCTGTACTCAATAAGCACAAATGGCATTGTGCAACCTCCAGAAAACACTACTGTGAAGTGTTGGATAAGTGCCAAGTTAATTCCTAACTGCCATTTCCACAGTGATGTATTCCACCAACTTTTTAGTGTGCAAGTCACCATTTTTATAAGGTTGTTTTTACCACAGTGGTCTTTTTTAACCACCTACCCACTCCCCAACCCCAACAAGAGTTTTCTACCGGTTATTAGGGAACACTGACAAAAGGCTTGTTTAGGGCCTCATTTGTGTGAGCCTTTTCAGTGGACGAAGGAATATTTCCTATGGTGCTGTCTCACTGCCTTAAACCCAATTTCTACAACAGTTTTACAGGTGGTTTAACTCCTAAACCATTGGTAACTCACACTGTCTTTTCATTTTGCCAACAAGACACATTGGTTCACACAGCAGCCTCATATCTGTAAATCATGATTTTTTTTTAAAGAAATGGATAGGAGAAAGATCGGTATTTTTATCCTGTGAAAAGATTGTTTTGTCTTTCCTTGGACATAGGCAAGGAACCCCCAAACCTACTATGACCATCACTTACAAGCTGAGGGAGGTAGCTAAGATTCATCCAGTGCCATGGGATGGAGCTTTGTTGGAAGGCATAATATTTTGAAATTCCTCTCCAGCAGAGCTGGAAGCATTTGATGCAGCATGAGCACAAACCTTTGGGGTTTTTCTTTCTCTCTTTTTTTCCCTCTCTTTCCTGCCCCCCCCTTTTTTCCTGCTAATTTGACGCATGGTGTTTTGATTGCTATTGTTGTACATGAGAAAAAGCAGCATTGAATCACACGGAAGCAATGACATCCACTGTGGAAGAGGAAGAGTTTATATTGTAAAGGAGGGTTAGTTTTGCACAGTCTACTGGGTGGGTATTGTAAATAAAAAAAAAAAGGCCTTGCACAAATCAAACAAACACACTCACACAAATTGTATTTTATCCTGTTGGTGTTGAGATGTTTCACTTGCTGAGATTTCCTGTATGTTGCAAACAAATACAGAATGCAGACCCTAAAAGCTGTTTTTATCTGGTGTGTTTGTCCTGTATTTACAGTTGGTATGACTATGCAGGAGTTATCAGTGCTGGAGTGAGCATGTTTCCAATCTGTACATGAAGCCAATACATTTTCAGAAATTTTAATGGTTTTAAAGTGCATCTGGCATGGCAGGCTGTAAACAGATTGCATGATTGATAAACTTGATCGGATTCATTAGTGAAAGTTCTGGCCATAAGAAATAACTTGTTTCAAACACAATCCAAGGGCTTGGGTAATGGTGTAGATATGTACTGTACCATTAAAAAAAAAATAAAGTGTTACCTTCAGGATGTACAATTGGTGCTACTCTCTGTGACCACCCAGGGGTCAGTTGCTATATAACACAAGACAAAGACATCCCTGCAGTTTTCAGTGTGTTACTAAGTCTCTAGGTCCCTTTGTGGTGCTATTGTCCTAATAGAAATCACAATGGAGTTCGTGCATGTAGAATTTTGACAACTTGATTTCGGGGCCCCGAAGGTAGATTGGTTCTGTGGTGTAACATTAACATGCGTAGCTGGCTAAGTGACTAGTTGCCCTTGTGTGAGACACGAGTATAAAAGAAAATCAGAAAATCTTTCCCTGCCATTTCTGAGAAATCCAAATGAACCATGAATAACATAGACAGAACCTCCTGCAATACATCTCAGTGAGTCCACCTAGTTTACAAATGAAACTTGTTTGTGAAACATTTGTCTGTATACATTTTATATTTTGTACATTTTTGATGTAACATATCATGTAAATAGACAGAAACAGTGAAATAAATCATCTGAAAAGTTTTGTAGTCTTTGTAAAGCCCTGATAATAAGTATTTGGTGTCCTCGGACTTAACTGGATGATGTATTTTCTATTGGTTTATTGTTCCTCTAGCTTGTAAACCAGCTTGCATATATTTTTTTTTTCCTTTTCCTTCTGGCAAATGTGCACACTGTATCAGTCTAAATTATTACTTTGCCATTAAAGTGGAATTATTTATTGAAAACAAAGTCTGGTGTCTATATAATGAGAAACACAGTATAAATATAGTCATTAAAGAAGCATGTACTTATTAATGAAGTGTCAAGCTTTACAATGTGACACAGTACTAATATGCCATAATTTAAGACCAGTCCTAGTAATTGAAGATCAGGATTAGAATGCAATAAAAAATTACTAATAACAAAGGACAAAATGGTATAATTCTCAGGGTTAAAAAAAAAATAATAATTTAGATACAACAGATTCTCCTCTCACATCCTCATTCACCACAGCAACCAAGTCAACAAGCATCATTACCCATAGGATGAATATTTCAAACCTTGGTCTGTAAAACCAACAATGATACTGAGTATGACCTTCTTGCTCCCATAAAAGGAAACCAGCCATGCTTATACAAAATAGACACTACTCCAACAACCAAGAAATGTGTGTATGCATATTCTATTTAAACTCATGTATGTGTACACACATACACATAAAAATATACATACACACCTACATATATATCTCTATATACATATATAGATATGTGTGTATTTAAACACACATATGCTTAAAATTTATACCAACTATTCAATAAATAAAATACCCCTTTCAAGATAGTAATTTATATCACAGAAAAATATATATATATATTATATATGTATACATTTCCAGATGTAAATTTATCTTTTAAAATCATTCTTGTAATGTGGTATTAAAATTATTGGATAGCACTTTATAATTGATATAAGTAAATGACTTTAAAATGAGATGATAAAAAAAATTTATCTCTTCCTAGAAGACCTAACTTAGCTATTCCATAAAAGCAGCCACATTGTAATGGGATATTGGGAATCTATACAATCGCAACAAGATGTACTATTATTTACCTGGAATAAATAAGACATTAAAAATGAAAACTGGAAGGGTATCAATCAATCAAAAAGGACTTTTTAAAATCACTAATTATTAAGCTTCTGTGTTCCAGGCTTAGAGCTAAGGATAAAAAGACAGAAGTGAAGCCAATCCTTGACCTCAAGGTATTTATATTCTAATGGGTTGAGGGTATATTCACACACATAGCTGGGTCCCATTTAGTGTGAATAAGGAATCCCCTGAAGCATTCATATGTATCCAAATTCATATCATTTGAAGTAATAATTATGTAAAATATGATCATTGGTTCCAAGCCCATGGAAATATCCAGCGTACAAATAACGTGAACACTTCATGAAATTCATTTTCCACACTAATTAGAACTTAGCTAAAATGACGTCAAAACAGATATAAGATAACATGGAGAGAGTCAGAGAGGATAAAAAAAGATTATTAGGGCTGTGACTCTGGGCAAGTCAACCCCATTGCCTAGCCAAAAAAAAAATTATTACCAGCTAGGGGGTTCAAGAAAAGCTACCTCTACAGTGTGGCATTTGAGCCAAGTAATGAAAGAACTCAAAGATTCCAATAGGTGTCAGTGAGTAAGGAACACACTCCAGTCATGGGGGGACCACCAATACAAAGACATGGAGTGTGTGCAGGTAATCAAGTCTGGCTGGATTATAGAATAATTGTATTGGAAGTGGTAACATGTAACAAGATTGGAAAGGCAGGAAAGACCATGCTTTGATTGTTGCTGTTGGTGGTGGGTTTTTTGTTTGTTTGTTTGTTTTTTTGAGAAGCAATCAGGATTAAGTGATTTGCCAAAGGTTATATAGCTATTAAGTGTCTGAGGGCACATTTGAACTCAGGTCCTTCCTGATTTGAGGGCCAGCACTCTATCCACTGCACCACCTAGCTGCCCCAGGGACCATGTTTTGAAGAGCTTTAAAAAGGCCAAAGATAGCAGTTTATAAATAATCCTATAAGTCATAGTCACTGGAGTTTATTGAGTAGGAGATTAACGAAGTCACAGCTCCCTTATAGGAAAAATCACTTTAGTGACTGTATAGAGACTGGACTATAGTGGAGATGCAGCAAGACAGGGAGACCAATTATGAATTTATTGTAATAGTCCGGAAGGAAGGTGATGAAGTCCTCAACTGTGGTGATGGCCAGATGACTGGAGAGAAGGGGTTATAGGTGAGAGGTGTTATAAAGGTAAAAAGTTGGCAACAAATTGGATACATAAGGTGAGAGTAAAACTTTGAGAAAGTAACTAAAATGATAGTCATGGTTGACAGAAATAGGAAAGTGTAGAAGAAGCGAAGGGGTTTTTGTTTTGTTTTGTTTTTGTTTTTGAGGAGAGAGAGGGGAACAATGGATTTGCTTTTCAACATGTTGAGGTTGAGATGCCTAGATGAGATCCAGGTGGAAATATATACCATTTAGCTAGTAAGGTAGAGTTAGACCATGAGAGAGTTATTAGGACTGGAAACAATCATCATAGAGATGATGATTAAACATATGGGAACCAATGAAGACTAGGAAGGTAAGGGAGAGTGATCCCTGAAGGCTGTAAGTCCTTAGCCCTTTTTCTAAAATGTTCTTAATACACCTTTCCAGTCTGGTCAGTATGTGCTAAGTGCCATGCTAAGCACTGAAGATACAAAGGCAAAAACGTTCTGGCTTTCCAAGAGCTCATAGTCTAACAGGAAAGATAATTTGCAAGCAAGTAGGAACAAAGAAGACATATACATAATGAATTGGAAATTATTGCAAAAGGAAGGCACAGATTAAAACAAAAGTGAATTTTAGCTGGAACTTGAAGGAAGCCAGGCAAAGGAAAATGATGGCCTTATTCTAATTTTTAAAAATAGTTTTAAATGCATAAAATAAAAACATCAGATCACAGAGGAAACCAGTTGTATTGAAATACAGTCACTAAAAAAATAGGTCTAGTGACCTCCTAAGTTAACAATCCCTTCTTTTTCTAACCTAAACTAGAATTGCAAATTCTGTCTTAGATTTACCAGAATTATTCAGATCAAGGTTTGTGATTGTCTGAAGAAGAACAGAGTCATTCTTCAAATACTTATAACTAGCTTTGCCCTATAAGCTAATTTGTCTCCTTTTAAGATCTTTATTGAGTAGACCACTTTTCTGATGAAGCTGCCAGACAATTGGACTGAAAGTTACAGTTAGAATGGTTTGGGAACAATTTACTGACCATATGTCAAATACTTGGTTTCTTGTTTGTTTTTTCTTACAGAGAGTTAATTGAATTTCATTTTTCAGGACCTATGCTTGGTAACAAGATTAAAGCCTCACATTCATTTTGTGCTTTATGGCTTCCAAAATATTTTTCTCCCAGCCATCCTGGAAGGTAAACAGTACGTTATTCTTCCATAACGGATAACTAATGTCAGAGCCAAGACTCAGTCTTCTGACTCCAACTACAATACTATATCCATTCAAATATTTATTTCAATATACACATATGCAGACACATGTATGCATGTATATTTGTGTGTATACGTATCTACAGATATATGCATGTAGACATACACACATGTATATAATTATAGGGAGGCTAGGTGGCACAGTGGATAGAGTGCTGGGTCTGGGGTCAGGAAGACTCATCTTCCTGAGTTCAAATCCTTCCTCAGACATTTACTAGCTGTGTGACCCTGGGCAAGTCACTTAGTCCTGTTTGCCTTCATTTCCTCATCTTCAAAATGAGTTGGAGAACGAAATGGCAAACCCCTCCATTATCTTTGCCAAGAAAACCCCATGAAGCATCAGGCAAAAATAAAAATGACTCAACAACAACATATAAAGTTGTATTACTGTTGTTATTGTTGTTTGTCCTTTGTTCTCAAAGAGGACCAATGACATCAGAAAGGTGATGTCTTGACTTGCAAGTGAATTGAATTTAAGTGAGGTTGGGCTGTGCAAAGTCACCACCCTCACTCTCTCCTCTGGATCCATCTGGGTCCGGTGGCAATATATAAATTAGGATGACTGAAGATGGCTCCAAATGGAGTGAGACCCAGGGAGTCTCAGAGATGTGTGTGTGTGTGTGTGTGTGTGTGTATGTGTATATGTTTGTGTATATGTGTGTGTATGTGTGTATGTTTATGTGCCTTTGCATATGCATATTTATGTAAGCATATATTTATATATATATATATATATATACATACACACATATATTTTTCAATATGATTGGTCTCCTTTGTAGTACTACAGTTTTTATTTTACATATTTAAAAGCATTATTCTGGGAAAAGTCCATAAGTTTCACCAGACTGCTGGAAGGGACCATGATGGACCAGAAGCTTAAAAACCATTGTTATATGTATTCTGTCTACATCCTGGGCCATTTCCAGTTGTCCTGATCTATGGCTCTGGAGGAGAAAGTAAGGCTGGTGATTTTTCACTGCC